GACTTAAGTTCATCTGTCTTGGAGGAGTTTTTTCTGGATTCGTACGTAAAAGTTTTGCATACTTAATTAGTACTGCGTATTAAAATTTGAGAGTTTAGGAGTATGTGTAAGCAAGTTTTTGAATGGAGGAACGGGAAGGCGCGAAGTTTGACTTATTAATTATTGGAATTCTCGAAGTTATTAATGACAAAAAGAGAATAACAAACTTGTTTTTATGTTTGGACTCGTATCTTCAGTACGCAGAGAACACAGGTTGTGCATATAGGGTTTTTGTCTATGACAGTGGGTCATAGTTAACAATTGGTTGGATTGATGTCGGGTTGATGGGTGGATCGAGTGGGTGTAACCACAAGCTTCGCTCGTACTCAACACGGGTCGTTTACCCGTGCTGAGTTATTACTTGGGAATTTTACTGAGGGACCGAAAAATATGTAATGTTTCTCGTTTTCAACGTTAAAAGTCACTAGTAGAAACATTTTCACGTTACTAATGTAAACATAACGATCAAACGTGGAAGTTTTGTTTCCACCGAGGACGACCGACTTTACACCCGTTACCGTGTGTCTCTCACCAAATACCGTCACTGGGACATAAACTTCCACGTCGATGGACGTCAAACTTCCTTTCCTCCCGACTTCCTTTACCAGGGCCCGATTATAACGTTTGAAACAAAAGCAGTGGCACTGGAGCAGGGAGGGGGGGCGCGCGGCGGAGAGTCACACCGCCGTGTGCGAGCTGTCTGCGAAGCGCACTCGCGCCTCCTTGTCAGAGGGGGCCTGAAGTGGAGTGTGGGTGGTTCTAGATGAGGGTTACTTTCGAAAGGTGAGTCGGTACCGAAAAAACATACTCGACACGCAGAGCCAGGTACTATACAGGAAGTTATAGGACGCCAAGGAGCTTATGTGTCGGCCTGCGCCTGTCGGCGGTGCTGGCAGGGAGGCGGTCTCACTCTACATAACGAGCATCATTATCCGTAATATGCCATCGTTGGGGAGTTACGTCCAGAACGAACCGTTGTACATCACTACGCCTCACCAAGGATACCGCTGTTCCGTTCAACCAGTAGTTTTCATGCTGCCGCTCCGACCTGTCTCTAGTAGAAGACTCCTTCCATTTGCTCATCCTAGGTAGATTCATTCCGGGATTTCCTCTATCGTTTTAGATTTACTTTGTAGGTATTTTATCTTGATGATTTCGTCTGGGAGATGATGGTAATGGACATATATAACGTAGATACTAACTCAATATTACGAAACGTTACATCAACACTTTTAGGTTTCTGTCGTGGTAAAAACATGATTACTTTCTATGTTTTGTAGAGAAGGTTATGCTTCTTTACTTTGTTTAACGCGAATTGGAGGGACGACTTTCGACCGAATGTACTGGTCGTCATTTGTCGAAATGACTACACGGAAAGAAGGTTACCTCACCCTTGCCACGGTTGTTCGAGGTTTAACGGTGTCACGAATGCGAATTTCATTTAATACAATTTGAAATGTAGTTAACGGCGACGTCTCTTACAGGAAAGTACTTGTTCCGGTCGAATTTTTTGTCGTTGTATAAAACAATTTACAACAGGATTAACACTTTCGCTGGGTAATATCTGGATGTTTTTCCTTATTTCGTACCTACATTTACCGAAAATATCTTGTTCATTTTTTTTGTAGTTCTAAACTTACACTGTGTTAACAGTGGACTTCTTGTACATAGTTACGGAGTGACCGTACAGGGTTAAAGGAATCCGCACGGTCGACCACTTCCTTTCTCACATCCCTCACGAACCGGAACTTGTTCCGTTAGCTCTTAAGTGATACTCTTCTCTC